AAGGGAAACCTGAGCTCACCTGCCTCTTTCCAGAAAAGGGAGTCCAGAGACAAAATGGGGCGTGAGGTGGGACATGAGCGGCCTCCCTGCTGGCCAAGGGGTTCGGCCGCAGGTGTTGCCACCGCGGCCTGAGTTTGATCCCTGGGCAGGAGTGTCCCACAGAGCACAGCAGACCCCTCCTGGCTCCCCAGGGCTCCCCTCAGCAGTGGATCTGCCTGTTCTGCTCCCCACAATGTCTCTGGTGAGTCCTCTCACCACCCCCCACAACTCTGGCCTGTCCCCCACCTCTTGTATGCATACATACATCTTTTAAAGGGCACTTTAGCTTTAACAAGAAGGGGGGAAAGTGGGGCATGGGAAGAAAACCACACAAGATGAACCCCAAAGAGACCATCACTTTTCCTTCATGTTACAGGACAGGGAGAGGGGCACCTCTGAACCCCCAAGCCGGCCTGCTCTAAATAGTTTCTGCCATTCGCTGCATCAAGACACAACACATCAGAACTTTAATGGAGAGGAACTTTAATACAGTGAGTGTGCAACTACGGAAAAGACAAAGAATACAGCTTCTAAATCAATCACCCAGAGTGGCCCGTCCCCTGGGGGGTAAAAGTCCGCCCAAAAGGGTCTGGCCCAGTCTAAGGCACCTTCCGGCAGACCCACAGAGAAGGGCCAGACATGGCCAGACACGCTGGGAGGCAGAGAGCAACATCAAAGCTAAGACAAAGCTGCCACAGTCGCCTCCCTCGAGCCTCCCCCGCGTCTGCGTCCCCCAGTGCAGGGCCAGGAAGCAAGAGCCGCTTCTTCGGGTGTCTGCTCGCGGGGCCCCCAGGTCTCCCCTGGCCCATCCTGCCTCCTTCCCCCAGTCTCCCTGCTCAGCCCCACCCTCCCCTGGGTGGGGCAGGGGACCTGGCGCCCCGCTCTCCTGGGGTCCCCTGTTACATCTGGACGCGAGCTGCCACAGGAAAGTACGTATCTGTTGCCTCCCTGGGCCATGAGCGCCATGGAATTTCCACCTGCCCTCTTCGGTTTCTCACCGCCTGGGACATGGACGTTGGAAGCATTCGTGTGGGGGAGCCGGTGGGTGCGGGCCTCCGCTCCTTCAGGAGCTGTCCATCCCCCAGGAGGTGGGGCCAGGCCGGCCACCTGGGACACCGGTGGGGTGGCGCAGCCCTCGCCTGAGGGAAGGTGGGCACACATCTCTCCTTCCCCTCGGTGGACAAATGCATCCAGCGAGAATCTGCCCGAGTTCTGGCTTGGCTGGGGACAGCAAGGTGGGGGCTGAACGCCACGTCCTGTCGGAGGACCTGGGAAAGGTACTCAGCCGTGGGAGAGGCGCCTCAGGAAGTGCACGCCTGGGGCCAGTGTGATAAGTGTAACAGGGGACCCCAGGAGAGCGGGGCGCCAGGTCCCCTGCCCCACCCAGGGGAGGGGGGCTGAGCAGGGAGACTGGGGGAAGGAGGCAGGATGGGCCAGGGGAGACCTGGAGGCGCCGCGAGCAGACACCCGAAGAAGCGGCTCTTGCTTCCTGGCCCTGCACTGGGGGACGCAGACGCGGGGGAGGCGACTGTGGTGGCGTTTGTCTTGGCTTTGATGTTGCTCTCTGCCTCCCAGCGTGTCTGGCCATGTCTGGCCCTTCTCTGTGGGCCCGCCGGAAGGTGCCTTAGACTGGGCCAGACCCTTTTGGGCGGACTTTTAGCCCCCAGGGGACGGGCCACTCTGGGTGATTGATTTAGAAGCTGTATTCTTTGTCTTTTCCGTAGTTGCACACTCACTGTATTAAAGTTCCTCTCCACTAAAATTTTGTCTTGAAGCGACAGATGGCAGAATCTATATAGGATGAGCAGGTTTGGAGGTTCAGGTGTGCCCCCTCCCTGTCCTGTAACATAAGAGCTGCCAGCCAGCCCCCTCCAGGCTTAAACCTCTGCAGCCGTTTTTTGTCCCTCCCAGACCCCACTCTCAGCCCCAGGTAACCACACCTCTGTTTCTGGCTCCCCAGATTTGGTTGTTCCGGACATTCAATACCAATAGGAAATATTGGGGGTGACAAGAGGCCCTAAAGTGGATTGAGGAGATGCGGCCTCTGTACATCTATACAACAATCACGCAGTAAACATGTAAACCAGGCAAATTTTACAGCAAATCATCGGAACGGCCTGAACAAAGTAAGTTTCCTGGAGCGGAAATCCCACTGGTTCTGGACCCGGGCGGGAGCTGGCGTCAGCCGTCAGCCGGCCAGCTCTGCCCGCTGACCGCTGACCTGCTTCTGCTCTCCGCGCGGTTGGGCGGGCTCCGGGCTCCACGGCGCCACCTTCCTGCAAGTTCTGGCCCCATCACGCCACAGCAACCCGTTTCCACGCTCAGGTCTAGCCAAGGCCAGACCCGGAAGGAGGCAGAGACCAGAGGTCAGAACTTTAGAAACTGCCTGCCCCCCCCCGCCCCACCTGGCCATGCAGAGAAAGGGGCGCGCAGTGGTAGGGAGGTTACTGTTGCTGGTGAATTCCAGCAAGCGGATGCAAAGGTGAGAAGACATACTCCCTCCACATCGGCGTGTTCGCATTAGACCTGGCTTTCTGAGGAGGACCTGGGGCGGGGGCCCCACAGGCCTCAGGGTCGCCCCGGGGGTCCATGTGAGGTCTCTGACCTCGTTAGCTCTAAAATGGCGGTGCTGGCGTGACCAGGGTCGCTCTAAAGGCTGTGTACAGCGAGTCTCTCCACTTCTGGCGCGGCTGGCCAGCCTTGGCGCTCCTCGGCTTTCAGCCACGTCCTCCCAGCCTCTGCCTCCGTCCGCACCGGCGTCCCCTGTGTGTCTGGGTCTCTTGTCTCTTCCTATAAGGACACCAACCCCACCGGATTTCGAGTGGGGAGCAGAACAGGCAGATTGACTGAAATACCGTATGACCTCACCCTAACTGGTCACCTCGGCAAAGGTCTCATTCAGAAGTTCTGGGAAGGGTGTGGATTTCGGGCTGTTGGGGAACCAGCATGTCCTGAGTGGGCTCCACCCACAGATGGTTTATGGGCTCCACCCCCAACCCAACCCAAAGCGACCCCACGTACCAAGGAGCAAACTTCCATCAGCTAGGAATCTGCCATGACTCCATTTCTCAAAGGGGCATTGCTGGGAACCAAGGGTGGCGTCAGCAGCCACACTTGATTAAAAAAGAAAGTGAGTCAGTGATGCAGCAGGTTAAAGCGCAGCACTGAGAAGCTAAAGCCACTGTAGCAGTTCGATCCCCGCCTGCCCTGGAGGTGACCCACAGGGCACAGCAGACCTCTCCTGACCCGCCCGCCGCTCCCTTCAGCAGTGCACTTTGTCCATCTGCCTGTCCTGCTCCCCACTCTGTCTCTGGTGAATCTTCTCACCACCCCTGCCCCTCTGGCCTGCACCCCAGCTTTGTGTGCATAAATAAATAAATCTTTTTTTAAAAAAAAAGTGAGGCATTTGGATTCTACACAGCAGCCCAGGGGTCTAGTGGCCGGGACTCAGCGCTTCCCCTGCAGCTGGCCCCGTTCCTGGCTGGGAGACGAGGCCTGAGGCCCTGGCATTGGCGGAGCGCTGCAGGAAATTTGGTTTTGCCCACCTTCAGCATGCACCGTGTCCCAGCTCGGGCAGCGTTGCTGGCAGGACACAGTGACCAGTAATCTCTCGCTCTTGTTCTCTGTGCGCCTCTCTTTTCATTTCCCTCGTAAACACCTTTCATTAATCTTTCTGTGTGCCTACCCTTTGGTCTTGTTCTGAGGGGTTGTTTTCTTAAAAATGATTTATTTTATTTCATTTTATTTATGCATATTAGAGACGAGGAGCAGGCCAGAGGTGCAGGGAGCGAGAGGATTCAGCAGAGCAAAGCGGGGAGCAGAACAGGCCAATGACTGAAATCCACTGTTGCAGGGAGCAGCAGGGAGACAGGAGGGGTCTGCTGCGCCATGTGGATCGCTCCTTGGCTGGGGATCGAACTTGTGCCACAGTGGCTGCTGTTAACATATGCTGTTAACATAATAATGCTGAGATTTCACCCCTTGCACCAACAGGGAGGCCTTCTGAGGGTTGTTTTTTAAGTGCATGGGTACGGAGGCATACCCAGGCTATCGTGTTTCCCTTTGGGTCGCCCTGTAGCAGAGGGACACTGTCCACACAGCACACTGACCCTGATGAGCTCTGCAGGGCAGTGATTCAAGGAGGGGCCTGAGTTCGAGCACTCAGGGTGCAGACTGTGGGTGGAACGGGCTGGCCTGGCCCAGGGTGCAACAAAGGCCAACCAGAGGGCGCTACCTCTTGGGGTGAGCGAGGCATGGTACTGGCACCCAAACACCCAGCCCAGACAGCACCTCTGGAAAGCAGCCTGAAGACTCATCATCTCAAAGACTGAAGCACTTGTTGCAAAATTTCTGCCCTTCAGGGCGCTGGCGCCAGCACAGAGGCCCCCTCTTGCTTTGACACTCTGTTCTCCCCATCTTGATTCTCATGTTAGTTTGCACTAAATTCCACAAATTCCACTAAATTCCACGCTGCCAAGGCATTTAAAGGCTGAGGCGCTATTCCAGAGGGAGGGAGTTGCTACTGAATGAGACTCCCAGGGATCCTGGGTGTGGGGGCATCAGGAATAAAAGACATAGGAGGACAAGAGGACACTGGGCATGTGAGCCGCGAGCCAGCTCATTAGGATGCTATCAAGGGGACACCGGCTCACGGCCAAGTCGCGCAGGTGGATTCTGTAACCACCGACACGTGGGGCTGGGGCACGAGACTGACAGCAGGAGGGGGCCAAGGAAGGCGCCCGCTGCCAGGTGCTGTGGACGCCCCAACCCCCAAAAGCTCCCGCGACGTTTCTCTACTTTGGGGTGCTTTTCCACTGCCCTACTTTGTCTCATCTCCCCTTTTGTCACCCCGAGGTGTGAGGCGACCGTAGCGCTGCTTTGCCCCCACACCTCCGCGAGCCCGCCAGTCCTTCCCGCCACACCCACCCCCTCCTGCGGCAGCGGGTGACCGCGCGTGCTGTCCACGACTCAGGGGCAAGGTGCATGTGGCCAACGCACGAGTGAAGACAGTGGGGGCAGAGGCGACGCCCGGAAGGGCTGACACCCGCGGGGAACGTCTCCGGGACACCGTGGCAACCTCGCGGGTCTGAGGCCGCAGGCGCGGGCGAAGTTCCCGCCGCCGCCGCCCGCGCCCTCCCCGAAGTCGCGAGAGTCCGAGGGCGAGATCTCGCGATGCCGGAAGGAGGCCGAGCCAATCCCAGCCGAGAGCCGCGGCCAGAGCCAGGGTCACGTGGGACGCGAACACGTGACCGGAGGCCGCGGCCAACATGGCGGCCTCCATGGGTCGCTGGCGTCTATTTCTCTTGGCGCTACTCGGCTTCCTCGGGAAGACGCCCGGTGACTTCAGCGTGGGGTGAGTACAGCCCCGGGGGCGAGCCTAGCTCGGGGTCCCCCAGGCCGCGGCGCGCGCTCCGAGCTCACGGCCGCCCGGGTCCCGCAGGGCCTCCCGCGAAGACGA